AGCTAACTGGTCACAGCATATTCACATGGGATTCATTTAACACAGTTGAATGAAGTTGGTGCTTTAAATGAAACCTATCTGCTGCTTTCTCTGGTGTATGCCCTTAAGTGTAAAGTCAGGCTGTTTAACCAATAACTTGGATCAGTGGTCAGCAAACTCATTAGTCAACAGAATGGCAAACCGCGACTTGCGAGCTGCAGTTTGCCGACCACATGAGCTAGAAAGCTTTCGGGAATTCCCAGTTTTTTTTCTCTTTGGAGGTCACAGACCAGCCTTGGTCTTTCCCACGGACCTGGGGCAGATCTTTTCCCATCCCACTGTTTTCTGGGTGGGTTCTTCATGCCCGCATCCATACTCGCTGTCCCGGGAGCCAGGATGCCTCCCAGCTTCTCTGGGTTTGTAGAGGGATCTTGATTTTGACACCAGCCAGCCCCTCATTACTTAAGGGACCCTGTACTCTTTCTAGGTCTTCCAGGAGATTGGAAGGAACCTTAGAGATCACTCAGCCAACAGGTGGCACAGTGACAGCCCTTGCTGAAAGAAGCCTATGGTCACGCTCTGTTTAACCCTCAGGGTGTTTGAAACGATTTTGAGTAGGTTGCCAACATTTAAAGATCTAGAATTCCGACTTCTCTTAGAAGAATGAGAAGGCCCGTGGACACTGGGCCATGGTCCTTTGGTCTCTGTAGCGGCCACAGTCCTCACTCCACTCATGTGCTCATTGACACTGCCAAGCCTCTCGCCACTTAAAGTTGTAGCCACTGATCTTAGTCTCCTGTCTTTTGCTCTGCTCCCATCGTACTAATGGGGGAGCCTGGCGTCACGGTGAGTAGGGTCAGGCTGTAAGTTGCAATCTAGGGAGGCCACAGAAGCCACAGGACCCGTCTCAAGTCACACGGCTGATAAATGGCGGGATCCCGATTTGCTCACTCCTGCCTCAGTGTTCCTCCCACTCTCCTCCATACCATCTTCTCCGGACTTGGGATGATTGGCAGACCTAGAGCGGACTGCGTGGTGTGGTTAAGGAAAGGACTGGGGAACACGGTTCTGGGCTTAGAGTCCAACTCTACCACTTGCTAGGTGTGTAACCTTCAGTGGATCTTTTTTCTAGAAACTCAGTTCCCTCCCTGTAGATAGACTGAAGATATAGTGGAGTCATTCCTCACAGGATAATGATATTCTACAAGCAGCACGGAGAGTGATGATCATATTTAGCCAAAACCTCAGTCAGCTCTCTGGCAAGGAGCCCTGTAGGAACCAACATGCTGTCTTTCAGTAAGCTGACCGGCACAGCTGGGTTTTCCTGAACACGAGCTGGAAGAGTTGGCCTGTGTTTAGGGACCAGGCTGAAGGAAGACACTGCTCTCACTGAGTGGAAAGAGAGGCCCAAGGGAACTGAGACCGACCTGAGACCAGCAGAGTCATGGGCATCATCACCACGTGCTCTCCCTGGAATAGACACAGTGGATGGAACACAGTGGTGCACTATTTAAAACATGTCTGTCCTTCTTCCTTGTTTGTATGTAGTTTAATATGTAAGTTACAGATCAGAGTGAGGCAGCTCAGCATAGTGGTGCTTCCCTGGCTTGCCTGGAAGATTCAGTGAGAGGATGAATGTCTCGCACTCAGCCCCCGGGCCTGGCACCATGGGTACACTCAGGTTGCTGATTGGATGAGGACTTAGGGGTTCCTGGGAGTCTCAGGCTGCGGAGTGCCCTTGTCCATGTCTTTCCTGTCATCTCTGAAGTCACTCTGTTGTTGGCTGACCATGTTGACCTCCCTCTGGATAGGCTGTTATGCATATGTAGGAGAGTAGCAGAACATCTGCAGGTTTGTATTAAAAAAGAACCTTTGGGACTTTCCAGTCTTCCCAGAAGAAAATATGTGTTATCTGAGACTGGACTTTGGGCCCGGTGGGCCGACTACCTGCCTGTTTTTTTGCCGTGTTCTTTCTGTGCAGGAGCACAGACTTTGCTCATGGGCTGTCTCCCAGTGGACTAACTTTTATGAAGGTAGAGATTGTTTATCATAGTTCCTGTTGGTTCTCTGTGCATAGTTCCTAGTGGGATTCTGTAGGTGACTGGTGAATCAGTCCTCGTTTGAGAAAGAGACACAAATGTGCTTGGACTAGTTAGTGCATGATTAAGGATATGGTTTTAAAAATCATGAAAGGTTAATTCTTTAGCATGATACAAGTTACGGATCTTCCATAGCTCATTAGGTTTTTAATATATCAGCTTAACTTTTATTAAAAGTCAACAAAACTTCCTATAGCCCTGTTTATCAGACACTGGGCTGGGCAGTGTGGATACAGAAATGAGTAAGATACAGTACTGGTCCTAGTAATGCAATGGAATGGGGAGCTGTCCGATAGAAGAACAAGTAACTACAATAATGTAGGATAACATATGTTAGAGGTATGTGCCAAATGCTTAGGGAACACAGGATTGGGGAGGTGATTCCTGGAGAGCAGGGATGGGGGCCTGAGTGATAGCTTGTCAAGGAAGTCTTCACAGATAAGGTGACATTGAGCTGATAGCTGAAGCACGAGCAGGAAGTTGTGTTCCTAGCCTCTCCCTAACTATGTGGAGGTCTTTAGGACACACCTTTGTTTTTCATCCCCCTTGCCTTATTTCTAGACAGTCCAGTCAGATGACCTAAAATCAAAATACCACCTCCCTCCATTCTCAATTCAGCTATGTCATTCCCACATGGAAGCAACTGATAGCCTCCTTTGCGTGGGCATTTTTTATGTCATCTAGATTTGTTGGGGATGACACAAAGGGCTCATTTTCCCAGATAACCCAGCGGGAGTGTAATCAGAGTCTTCATTGTGTGAAAGAAGCAGCTTCAGACGTTCACTCAGAAGGCCTCCTGTGTTTAGTGCATCCTGCTTATTGTGTGGGGAGTTAAGGGTGTGACACAAAAGAGAAATAAGCTCTACTCCTTGCCACCAGTGTGGTTGTAATCTCTCTTGGGACACACATGTACACACCCACCTCTGATACAACCTAGAAAGTGGCAAGTGTCACAGTGATGGGAATAAGAGAAGAGACTTCCTTCTGGCATGAGTAAGGCCATTCCTTGCTTAGCTAGTTTGCACAGAAAGGGCTTAACTGTAATCCTTGCTTCATGGCCCATCCCCATCGTTAGTTGACCATTATTTCACTGTATGAAGTGCTTCCAGTGTGTGCTGAGCACTGATAGGTCCCTTTGGAAGCCTATGATCTAGTGCAGTGGTCGGCAAATTGCAGCTCGAGAGCCACATGCGGCTCTTTGGCCCCTTGAGGGTGGCTCTTTCACAAAATACCACGTGCGGGTGCACGAGCGTACAGTGCTATTGAAACTTCGTGGCCCATACGTAGAAATCGGTTTTCAGCTCTCAAAAGAAATTTCAGTCATTGAACTGTTGATATTTGGCTCTGTTGACTAATGAGTTTGCTGACCACTGGGCTAGTGGGTAGATAATGATAAAGTATGATCTGGGTAACGATACAGAAAACATAAGTGGTGTGGAAGCTTGTGGCTCAGGACTGAATCTTGGAAAAGTACAATTTAAGCTGAGTCCTAAGTAGGTAAAGAAAGGGAAGAGACTGTTCCCAAAGGAGACCCCAGCATGAAGGAGGGTTCAGAGGGCAGCAGGATGTAGGAGCTGCAATCTGTGCAGCTGAAACCACCATGACTGGTGGGAGCACGGCGAAGAAAAGAGGTTTGGGCAAGGCTTGCATTTGATCCTCAGGGAAATGAGAGGTCCCTGAAGGGTGTGTAGGAGGGAAGTGACATGGTCAGATTTTGATCTAGTCTGGTTGTGCAAAGAATGGGTCAAGGGTGAGAGGAGTGAAGGCAGGGACATGAGATAAAATGCTGATCAAGTGACAAATGCGATGATTTGTCTGGACCGAGGTGGTGGCCTTGGGGATGTAGATGGTTAGAAGACTGAGTGGACACAGTTTGGTGATGAATTGGATGTGGGGCATCTTGGAGAAGGGTGATGATCAGGTGCCTGGCATAGGTAAGTTGATGGAAGTGGGTGTCTCTTTGTTGTTAATCCTCAGCAGAGGATTATTTTCCCCTTGATTTTTAGGGAAGGGAGGAGGAGAGACACACAGAGAGAAATATTGATGTGAGAAAGACACATCCATCAGTTGCCTTTTGCATGTGCCCTGACCAGGATTGGGGGTATGAACTGAGGTATGAACCTTTGACCAGAATTGAACCTTTCAGTCTGCGGACTGCTGCTCTATCCACTGAGCCAAACCAGATAGGGCTGGTGCCTTTGTGGATGGGGAGCTCCAGAAGAGAGACAGACTTGCAGGAGAAAATGCTGAATTCACTTTTTGACCCATGGAGTTTGAGGTGCCTAAGAGACAGTCAAGAGGAAATGTCTTATAAGTGGTTGGATTTGAGGATCTTGAGACAGGTCCTGGCTGCAGTTTTGGGAATCATAGAGATGGTAAAACAAACAAACAAGTAGGATGACCAGGAGTACAGAGTGAGAGAGGGACTTTGCAGGAGAGCACCTTTAGAGGAAGACTAAAGCTTGAAGGCCTGGGAAGAAAGGCCTTTGGAGGGGTGATGTTTATCCCCACGTGAGGGAAGTCTGACTGTGGACATGGGTAGAGGGGGAAGGCTATGCTGGGACCAGATCACAGAGGCTTTGATGCCAGGCCGATGCATTGGGCGTGTCCCAGGGGGTTTAACACTGCTGTCTTCCTTTGTTGTGCTGGCTGCTGGTGTTGGTGCCAGATAGTAGTCCCACCTCCTGCTTATGGCACAGGGGCATCACTCAGCACTGCCACCTCATCCAGTGGCAGTGGTGGGTGTGAGGAAGGGGGTGAGGTGAGGCTTCCGGGTCCCCTTGCTCACTGTCCTCTATCTTTCTGCCTTCAGAGCCGTGGGAAGCACTTCCTCTCCCAGGAGCCCCTTGAAGGACACACCGTAGATGCAGGAAGACGTTGGGTGCGGACAGCCCAGCTGAAGTGAGGCGCCCAGGACGGAGCATGGCTGTGGCCCTGGAGTCCCAGGCCCACGTGTCTCCCCAACCGGAGCTTGAAGAACTCCTGATTGTGAAACTGGGGGAGGACGCGTGGAGATCTGAACCCAGACCTCGGGAGAAGGACCATGGCCCTGTCCCTGGCCCCGAGGCCTCCCGCCAGCGCTTCAGGCAGTTCCGGTACAGGGATGCCTCAGGACCGCACGAGGTCTTCAGCCAGCTCTGGGCGCTCTGCTGTCGCTGGCTGAGGCCAGAGATCCGCCTCAAAGAGCAGATCCTGGAGCTGCTGGTGCTGGAGCAGTTCCTGACTATCTTACCCAGGGAGGTCCAGGCCTGGGTGCAGGCGCGCCACCCTGAGAGCGGCGAGGAGGCGGTGGCCCTGGTGGAGGATTGGCACCGAGAGGCCCGGGCTGCAGGGCATCGGGTGAGGCAAATGGCCAACCTCCCTGAAGTGGGTCAGGCAAGGCAGCAGGCTGTGACTAGCTTAGTAATTTCCAAAATAATAGTTATTATTGTTATGGAGCAACTGACATCTGTTGAGCATGACTGTGTACCAGGAATTGTTCTAAGTGCTTTCCATGTATTAGTTCCTTTCATCCTGTGAACAATTTAATGAGACAGGTACTATTATCCTAGTTTTATCAGTGTGGAAACTGAGGCAGAGAAAAGATGGGTAATTGGCCACACTGGTAGAGGCAGGATGTGAATTGAGACAGTCGGACTCTAAAGCCAGCATTCATAACCACTGCTCTAAACCCTCCCAGTGCCGTGTTCACAGGACTCTTGATTTGAATGGTTTTATACTTAAACCAGAGACCCAGCGCGTGAAATCGTGGGAGACCCCAGACCCGCATCACCAGCGGGCGGGACCCTAGGAGTGGGATCCCAGAGCCGCAGCACCACGAGACCCATCAGTGCACCTCTGGGTGGTCGTTATAGCATTATGGCGTCACAGCCACAGGCCTTTGATAATATAGATAGAATCTTTTCACATATGTGATTGCTTTGGATGCTTATAACAGTAATGTAAGTGTAAGAAATAGCATTATTGTCCCTATAATTTATAGATTCTGAACAAAGTCAAGTAGTTCAGAAAGCTCTGTCCCTGTGAACCATAACCTAAACCTAGATCCGTAGGTCCCAGGGTCATCATTCTACGCCCTCACAGACGCCTCATCAGAAACCATAGGAATGAAAATACCTCTGAGGCATGAGGCTCAGAAATGGTAACTGGCGTTTATTGAACACTCACTGTGTGTATACACTGTTCTAAGGTTTCTGTGTATGTTGCCCATCTAGTCCACCCTGTACCCCAATAAGATAGATACTATTACCATCACCATTTTTCAAATGGGTGAACAGAGACTCAGGTAAGTAACTCGTCCAAGTTTACATCGAAAGGAAAATACTGTGGTTTTAACTTATAGTCTCAACACTTTGCAGTCTGAGGGCTTTGTTGTCATACTTGAGCCATCTTTGGGTCTTAAAAAGGGCCCGTTAATCCTTAGATCACCATTGTCCTCTAAAGAACATTTCCTGCCCTACCAAAACTGGTCTTACGGGACTGACAATGGGAATGTTGACCGTCTGTGTGCAGGAACTGGGATTGTGTGAAGAGACCCACCCCTTGAAGGCGATGCGGGAATCTCGGTGCTTTCAGCAGCAGTCAGCACAGCACTGGCCCGAGAGACCGCCCCAGAGGCAGTGGATGAGGAATCCGTGCCCTGCCCTTCCCAAGCATCTCGACTCCAAGATGGCGCCCCATCTCGACTCCAAGATGGCGCCCCAGGCCTTGGAAGAGAGTGGTGAGTGCCAAAGATGAAGGAACATCAAGGAAGAGGGGTGAGAGGGGTGGTGAGGAAGGGAGCAGGGAGGTACTGAATTCAAGGCAAGGGGTAGAAGAATGTCTGAGGGACTCTGAGAAGTAAGGCAAGCACGTAGCATTGAAGTTCCCAGGGACAACTCGTCTCCTCCAGAGCTGAGTCACGTAGCAGCTTCAGGCTGGAGCTGGAGGAGGTGGTGACCCTACGAGTTCTGGGCTGGCATCTCCCACAGGGCACTTCACTCAAGACAGCTTAGGAGCCAGACACTCTTGGAGATAAGGGAAAGGAAGGTGAGATTTGCACTGACTGAGGATAGTTTCAGTTTGACCCAAGCATGGCCTTTGGAAAGCTGGACCCAAGCGGTGGTTCTGTGGAAACCAGAGCTTGGATTTTAGAGACTTTTTCTTCTTCTCAGCTGTCCTCACTCCCCGAGTCCTTACTCTCCCAAAGATGGGGAGCGTTGGAGATTGGGAGGTGACAGCTGAGTCCCAGGTAAGCTGCTCTTTGTTCTCCCTTTCCCGTCATTCCTTCTCCTGCCTTTGCTCCAGTTCTTTCTCCATGGGCTCTCTCAGCAAAAGGCCACAAGGCCCAGGCTGTGAGCTTTAGCTGCTTGCCCCCAGTCACTGGGCTTCTTGTTGGATGTGCTGCTCCTTATGATGCTAGATGTGCACACAGTATCCCTGTGTTTCCATGCTCTCTTCTGAGGCCCAGAGGGTTTCTGGGCTGTTTTCCAGGGTCATTGACATTTGAGGTCCTTCTTTTGTCCCCTCACAGGAAGCCCAGAGCCCTGGAAGATGTGCCAAGAAGGAGTTTCGCAAGGAGCCCCCAGGAGACAACTGTGGGAACGGAATGTCCCAGGGTAAGGAACTAGTGTCCTCGGAAGAAGATGCTGGGTCCCCATACACTCAGTTCCCAAAGAGCATTCCCAGAGACTCCCTAAGTCTCGTGCCTCTGTGAAGCCAGTGGGACTTCAGACATAGGGAGAAGACAAGCCTTTTGTGGCCAGCACTGTGGTGGCAGGGGTGGAGCGTGGGGGGTGGAGTGTGGAGATGGAGACTGGCAGGTTGGCTTCCAGGAGCCTCCCTTCTCCGGGCTCCTTCTTTCATTTCCCTAGTAAATTCCCACAGTGCACTGGGCCCTGCCTCTGCCACAGAAACCCAGGCTTTTCACATCAAACAGGACCCCACACTCAGGGGCGGACTGGACCGAGACGATGAGGCGGATGCACTGAGCCACAGTGAGAAGCACATCTCACGGGCTCAGAGGCTGGGAGCCCATGTGATCCGCACAGACTCCCTTCTCTGTAGCCACATCTACACAGGAAGCAAACAGTAATGAACCGCTTTCCATTGGAGCGTGGGATTAGATACGTGAGGGGAAGAGCAGGTGGGACAGTGAGGTCTGGCTCACCCCTGTCAGTAAGGTAAGGCATAGAAGCTTGTTGGCTGCTTGCTTGACAGGGTGACCCCCCTTTACATGTGGAATCGGGTGAAAAGAGCGCTCAGAGGGACAAACTGGGAAATGCTGAACTCGATAATCTTAGGCCTCTCTTAGTTTTAAACTCTGTTTCTAGTTTTGTTGTTTTTTTTTTAAATACTTAATGACAGACTTTCTATTTGTTAGGGTTGGGAGTGGTTGGAACAGCAGCCCTTTAGCTACGTGTTAAAAAAAGTAAGGACATTTATTTTCTCACATAATTGGAAGTCCAGAGGAGGGCATGGTCCAACCACAGTACAAAGGGCTCAGCAACATCATTTCCCTGCCTTGCCAGCCTCAGTCTCAGCTTCATGTGGAAGCTATTGTGTGTCGGAGTCAAGAGCTAGATGCCAGTGGCAATTGAGGCCACATATTTCCTAGTAAGATACACACACACACACACACACACACACACACACACACAGAGTGAGAGACCTGTCCTCCGACCATTGGGTTCATTCTGATTGGGTCAGTTTAAATCACATGCCCATTTGAGAACCAGTGACAGTTACTTTTTGTATGATGCGTTTCATTACAACAAAGAGGGCAAATGAACAAAGCAAACAGGCCAACGACCATTTCTGGTGAAGTGATCTGTTACCTCTACTTACATCTCTAACGCCCCAGACATTTGTTGGGCTTAGCCCGGGACATTCTCATTAACCTCTCGCAGGGAAATATGTTGGACAAGCACCCTGCTCAATAAGCCATTTCTCTTTTTATATAGGCGTTCTAGTTTCAAAACCAGATATCATCTCCCAACGAGAGCAAGAGCCAGAATTCTGGGGTCCGAGTCGTATAAATTCCGGAAAAAGGCACACTGCAGATTACAGCCTGGATAATGAGCAGATAAAAGCAGCCCCAGCTCCGGTCTGGAGGGACTCTAAGGCCTGGGAGGAACAGTACCAATGGGACGTGGAGGACATGAAGGTGTCAGGCGTGCATTGGGGCTATGAAGAGACCAAGACGTTCCTGGCCATTTTGAGTGAGTCTCCTTTCTCTGAAAAGCTCCGGACTTGTCACCAGAACCGACAGGTGTACCGGGCCATCGCAGAGCGGCTGAGGGCACGAGGCTTCCTGCGGACACTGGAGCAGTGTCGCTACAGGGTCAAAAACCTCCTCCGGAACTACCGGAAAGCCAAGAGCAGCCACCCACCGGGGACCTGCCCCTTCTATGAGGAGCTGGAGGCCCTGGTGAGGGCTCGGACGACCATCAGAGCCACAGACGGCCCAGGAGTGGCTGTGGCACTCCCCAGGCTGGGGGACAGTGATGCAGAGATGGAAGAACAAGAGGATGGGAACTGGGAGCAAGAGGAAACGGCAGAAGACTGTAATGGTGATGACCTGGCCACTGGCGAGTCCGTCCAGGGGCCCAGGATTTCAAGGGGTCCAGCTCTATTCCAAAGTCGTGTTGGTAAGAACAAGGCATTTAATTGGATCCAGATTCCACCCCTCCTATTAGTCAGACCTGTGCTCCCTGAGTGGAGGGCACAGGAGTCTGGATTGATGCTACTGGATAAGGCACTGAGTTCCTTCAGTCACTCTCAGACTCCTACTCTCTTCTCCTATGACCAAATCTCATTGTATAAGATTTTTAGCTGTAGAAACAGTCTTAAGGGACTTTAAAGAGCTAATTCAGTATTTCCCAAAGTGTTTATGGGGATGATCAGAGGTTGCACAAGTAAACTTTTAATTTTAATGTGTATGAACACATCAACCCTGATTTCACTGACAGTAAATTTAGATAAAGAAAGATATTGAGTGAAATATTTAACAGAGCACAAATCCAGACAGTGTACAGTTGAGTAATCAGTGTTTGGGAATTAGCAAAGTCACTGTAAAAGTGGGAGCACGCCCAGCTGGTGTTGCTCAGTGGCTGAGCATCGACCCATGAACCAAGAGGTCACCAGTTCAATTCCCAGTTAGGACACCTGCCCAGGTTGCAGTCTCCACTCCCAGTAGAGGGCGTGCAGGAGGCAGCCGATCAATGTTTCTCATCAATGTTTCTATCTCTCTATCCCTCTCCCTTCCTCTCTCTCTAAAGTCAATAAAAACATATTTTTAAAAAAGTGGGAGCACTGAAGCCTAAGAGGTGAAGTGTCTTATCTCAGGATCTAAGCGAGGCAGGGGCAGGGTCAGGATTAGAACCCAGGACTCCAGCCTACTTTTATGTGGTGGTCTTCCTTGGCTGCATCATGTACCTGCAGAGGAACTGAGAACAGACTACTTCCTTTTCCTTCTTCCACTAAAGAGGAAAGAGCATCCTCAGTTAGCCTCTAATACAAGATTATTTGACCTCCATTCATATCTTTAAGGATTCTCAGTTTCCATATTAGTTAAAAGGAAAATTCATGAAAGTAAGTAGAGGACATGTATTGAATGGATATAGAGATTGTCTCCTGTATCCCAATTACAGGCCTTTCCCTGAACCAATCAGCTGAAGCCAGGGGCTGGGGTCGCCTGATATAATATGGCTACCTACGTCCTTCCCTATAGCCAAGACTCATAGGTGTTAATAAATGTCTTTGAAGGGGTTGGGGTGGGAAATTCTGGCATAGCCCTGAGAGGCAAGAGTATATTCTTCTTTGGTGCCCAGGTACCTGGACAATTTCCAAGAGGCAGGTGATCCTGATCCCTAGGCAAGTCTTACTAAATCTCATAATTCTGACCTCTTCACTCCCGACAGCAGGCGTGCACTGGGGCTACGAGGAGACCAAGGCCTTCCTGACCATCCTCAGTGAGTCCCCATTCTCTGAAAAGCTTCGCACCTGTCACCAGAACAGTCAGGTGTACCGGGCCATCGCAGAGCGGCTGTGTGCACAGGGCTTCCTGCGGACACTGGAGCAGTGTCGCTACAGATTCAAAAACCTCCTTCGAAGCTACCGGAAAGCCAAGAGCAGCCACCCACCAGGGACATGCCCCTTCTATGAGGAGCTGGACTCACTGGTGAGGGCGCGGACTGCAGTCAGAGCCATGGGGAACATCAGAGAGGTAGCAGGTCTTCCTACGTCTGGGTGGAGCAGTACAGAAGCTGACGACCAGGAGGCCTGGGATGAGATGGCAGATGAAAATGTCATCAAACCTCCAACCCCATGTCCTAAAACCCCACACACTGGTAAGCATGGAATAATTGGATGCCCACAAAATCTGCAAGCATGCAGATAGAGTGAGGGAGCCAGGCTCCTTACCTTGTCTCTGGACTATAACAGAATGGAATTGAGTAGAAGGATTTGTGCTTTGCTCAGATTATGTCTAGTGTAGTGTAATCCCCTAAATGAGATAAGCAGTCAGGTCTAGATTTTTTTGGGATTTGGCAATCTCATATGACATAGGACATGCTGATTTTATTAGAAGAAGGTGTTCATTATCAAATAGGAATAAAGGAATTGGCCAGGGAGACTGACTGGCTGTTTGGTAAGGGCTCATGGCTCCCTGGGTGGGGTCACCAGGTCCCAGACTCCTTCCCTCAGCTTTGCAGGTCAGAAATGCGTGTATGCACCAAAACTTGGTCAATTTTATGTTAGCCAAATTCATGACACAGGATACAGATATATAAATAGACATCAACTAATGAATGAAAAAAAAACACATTTCTGCCCATTTTTTCAGGTTTTGAGATGAGTCATGAGGATGAAGGCCAGAGTTCAGAGCAGGATATTTTTGAAGACTTGCCTGGAGTGTTATCAAAATGTCCTCCAGAAGTTGTTTGCCACCCTAATGATTGGGAGGAAGACAGCGAACATGAAAATGAAGATGAAGAGCAGGCAGGAAATCCACCACAGGAACGGTGGGATGAATGTTCTTCTGAAGAGGACGTGGAAAAACTTATTGACCATCAAGGTCTGTACCTTGCAGAGAAACCCTACAACTATGACACATATGTGAAAAGCTTCAGTCGGACCTCCCACTTCATTGCTCACCAGCGGACACACACAGGTGAGAAGCCCTACAAATGCCTCAAATGTGGGAAAAGCTTTAGTGACCGTTCCAACCTCAATACCCACCAGAGAATTCACACTGGAGAGAAGCCCTACAAATGCCTTGAATGTGGGAAAAGCTTTAGTGATCACTCTAATCTTGTCACCCATCAGAGAATTCACATAGGGGTAAAGCCCTATAAATGTGGGGCATGTTGGAAAAGCTTCAACCAGAGCTCAAACCTTTTGAAACATCAGAGGATCCACTTGGGAGGAAATCCTGACTATTGTAATAAGCCTGGGGAAAACTTTGACCAAAGCCCATCCTTTAGTGCTCACTGGAGGAACTTGACAGAGGAGACAACTCCTGAACAACCTAAAAGAGCCAGTAAGAACTTGGGTTCTCCTGGACCATACAGCACCAACTCAGAGGAGAAATTTTATCCATGTTCTGAGTGTGGAAGAACCTTCTCCAAGAGCTCTGCCCTCATTAGTCACCAAAGAATCCATACAGGAGAGAAACCATATGAATGTGCTGACTGTGGGAAAAGCTTCAGTAAGAGCTCCACCTTGGCTAACCACCAGAGAACCCACACTGGGGAGAAGCCATATAAGTGCATAGATTGTGGGAAGTGCTTCAGTGAACGTTCTAAGCTCATCACACACCAGAGAGTGCACACAGGAGAGAAGCCCTACAAATGCCTCGAATGTGGAAAATTCTTCCGTGACCGTTCTAATCTGATCACTCACCAGAGGATTCACACGGGAGAGAAGCCTTATAAGTGCAGAGAGTGTGGGAAATGCTTTAACCAGAGCTCCAGTCTCATTATTCACCAGAGAATCCACACTGGAGAAAAACCCTACAAGTGCTTGGAGTGTGGCAAAGACTTCAACAACAGCTCTCACTTCAGTGCCCACCGGAGAACCCATGCAGGAGGGAAAGCGTCATAGAAGACAACTCCCCTCCACAACAAAAGAGATAAATGTGTATTTATATCTCCCAAGATTATAAGATGTATGGCAGAAAGAAATAGTCCCAGTTTTTAAGCCTGGTGTATACCAGGGAAGTTCTCTTGATATAATCCAGGTAATTTGGAAGTGAATTACAAATGCTAAGGATCCAGATTTGTGATTTTTTTTTTTCTCCTTTAAAACACCTCCACTCAATCCTCAGGCTGTCCTTACATTTGCTGTCATTTCAGGGCTTGTCAGTGTTTGAGCCAAATTGGAAGCTTAGGGGATTAGAGGCAAATCAGTGGGCCTGAGCAGTGATTCCAGACCTCGCTGTGCCTTCACAATCCCATGTGTACTCATCCCCCATCAGCACACGTCAGAGTCTCCTGCATGGCAGTCTCTAGTTGGGCCGTATCCTCAGAAGAGAATTTAGAGACTCTTGTGGGAGAACAGGCCACCATGAGCTCAGCAAGAAGGAGGAACAACAGTTAGATATTACTCCTATTACTATGTCAGTGCTAATAATAGCAAAAATAGCCAGCATTTATCCAGCATGTGCTGTTTGGCAGGCTCTCTGCTAATTACTTTATACACATGATCTCACTTAATCCTCACAACAGCCCCAGGAAATAGGTTCTAATATTCTCCCCATTTCCCAGAAAAGAAAAGCTAGGCTTGGGAGACTGAAGTAACTTGCTTGGGTCACACAGCTGAAAGTGGCAAAGCAGGATTCAACCAGACCTGTCTGCCCAGAGCCTGAGGTGTTCTTATCCCCATAGAGAACCCCGCTTACGTTGGGGCAGGTAACTCGGGCCAGGATCTCAAAGCACTTTGTAGACAACACATCCTGTTAACATTATGAATTCTAAAGGTGAAGGTTTGGTGACATTGATAACGGCCCTGTGCTTTGAGCAAGGCTGAGTGATTACCAAAGACTAGATATGAACTTCCGTCTTTACAAGGACACGGGTGAGAGGGAGAGGCGGGCTGCGATTGGGAGGCACATGTAGCCAACGTGACCTTCTGGTGAGACACCTGTGGCTAGGGAAAGGGGTTGAAGAAGCTCCCTTTTCTCAGGGAGTCAGTCCTGTTTGTTCCCTTTGGGAATTGTTAGGCTAACCTTACAGAAAGCTGGGCTTCCTCATGTCCACTCACTTTGTTCCTCATCCAGAGTCTGTCCTAGCCCCACTTCTCCACTGCTCCATTCACTGTGTTCCATTTGTGTCTTTACCGCTGTGTGCATGCTGATGACTCCCAGATCTGCCTCATGCCCTGGGCCCCCCCCTATTAGGAGCCCAGGCGCCTGCTGATCAGCCCTACGTGGATGACTCCTGGGCCCCTCCAGCTGCCATGTCCACCTGCTGCCAACTCCAGCCACCTGTGCAGCATGTGCATGTGTACACACATGGCCTCACAAACTTCCCCTCACTGCCTCAATGAGCCTTACACACTCTCACCCCAGACCCTGTCCCTCATACACACTTCTTCCTTCTAAGGGCATTTTCCAGTTGGGCTGAGTCAGTATCTATAGTCAGAATTAGTCCCCTTACCTCAGTTTTGACCCTACACTCTGTTTCCACCTCCCTTAACATCCCCTCCTCCCACCCAGTAGCAGATGCCAGTCTTACTTTAAGCCCCTGCTGCAGTCCATTATGGGGGTTAGTGCTGCATGTAGTGGTAGGTCAGGGAAGGCTGTGAGGGAGAGAGGAGCCTCAAGCTTGGCCTTGGAGCTCCCACTTCAGCCTGTGACAGCTTCCAGCTGGTTTTACACCCCCCCAACATCAGTATCAGCACTAGCACACCCAGCACCATTTCCCCCCCTCGCTCTGATTTTAGGCCAGTTCGGAATTCCCTCCAAGGGCACATTCTTCGGGGGGGTGAGGGGAAGGAGGATGTTTAAGGTGCATTCCTCCTCACTTCCCATTCCTTCCACCACCTGCGCTGCAGCAGAGTAACAGCCTCTTATCTCCTGGTGCGTCTTTCACCTGGTCCATGCCAGGAACCCGAGAAGGAGCCTGAGCCCCGGGACCCCATCCTGTGTTGCAAGCGCCAGAGGCCCCTCTCCTCCGTGTGTGCCCCATTCTCTCGTTTCTCAGGACTGAGCTGCTTCCTTCTAGGAGCCACCTGGTTAAGTCAAGGGCAGAAGATTCTGCCTAAACTCGTACAAGTAGAATAGGGGTCCACAAGGCACAGCCTTTCTTAGGAGGGCACTGTTAGTGATTCCTTCTGCATGTGGAGATGATTCTGATCATGTCTGCCACTGCATAATACTCCTAAAGCCACGTTTGTTTTCAACAGTTTCATTGGAGGACAATATCCCATCATGGTGCCGTCTAGAGGGTGAGGGCCCCAGGAAGGGAGAGTGAGAAACAAGTCCGTCTCTGAGGCTGGTTGGGTTCATCTGAGTCCCAGGAGGAGAGGAGATGGGGCAGGGGCTGACAGCCGTTGTCACAGAACTCTCCAGAGAGTCCCTGGGGCCAGTTGACATGTAACACAGAGGGAAAAGGCCTCTTCCCCTTCCTTCCATGTAAGCTCCAGCGTTTGGGGGGAATTGAAAGACCAGAGTCCCTTCTGCATAGTTAGAGGCAGCTGGAGACCAGCAGGAGGAGGGGCAAGGTGGTGCCCTGGAGATGGAGGTGAGAAGATTTGAAGTGAATGCCACCTGGTGTGGGTCAGGGCAGGAGAACACCTCTACAGACAGTACCTGAGGAGAGGCTTGCTCGTGACCACACAGGAAGTCCCCGACCCAGCTCCACTCCTGAGGTTCCCAGAAATCGATGGCAGAAGTAAGGCCAGCCGGCTGAAGGTTACACTAAATCCGTCTGGCATGTCCTGGGGGGAAGAGAATACAGGGAAGCTGGACATTGTGCCTGACGCTAGCTTCTGAGTATGGAATGAAAATGGATTCAGTTTTGGCCACCAAGGGCTCAGAGATTCAAGGTCCGATTCTAAGCACACATCAGCTCTCTTGGGCTGTGTAATTAGTGCATCAATCCCTGGCCTCAGTTTATGTGGCTTTGTTTTCGCTTCCTTATCCCTTATTTTTCTTTGATATTAAGTACATGTCTTAAATCTTGTAAAATCCTATTTTGGGCTAAAATGATCTGATAATTAAATTATACTGATTAAACTGCTCGAGGGAAAACACACACACACACACACACACACACACACACACACACACACACACACACAAAGATGGGGCTATTTGAGATTCTCGGGCATCTCCCTGATTACACCAAAAGCAGGGAGGTAAAGAGGAGGGCAGACCAGTGAGGCCCAGGCTGTCAGGGAGGAGGGGCTCCAGACCTCAGTTCCCTGGTGTTGAATCACCATCTGCCTTTGCCCGTTCTCTGTGATTCCTCAGATGTGGCTGAATGCACATGGCCCAGGAGTCGTTGCTTTTTGCCTGACAGAGGGCTCTTTGGTCTGCTGACTTCTCCACACATCTACGTTGACACATATGTGCTGGGAAAGCTGAGGTACTTGGGATGTAATAACACGAGGCCGATTATGGATAAAGGGGAGGAAAATGCTGCCAGAAGGCTGAATCCTTCCTGGCTCTGCTCATTTGCCTCCCCATTCAGGGACAGAGCCCATACACTTCGATCTTGAGAAAGTGGGGTTGGGGTGGCGGGGGGACATTTCTTCCCTCCTTGCTCCACCCATTCCCTTCAGGTAATACTCAGAAGACTTTGTAGCTCAAGGCTGAAGTTTTCTAATAAATGTTTCCTCCTTATCTTTGTTGAGTGGGGTATGGGTAACACTTTGCCTCTGAGGTTTTGTTATCCTTGAATTTCGATTGTGAATTAGGGGTGGGGGAGATGGAGAGCGAGCGATCATAATTTGACATGATTTTGATCAGAATCCACTGAAAACGTCCTTCCTATCGGAGTCAGAGTCTCCAGTGCAGGTTTTACTAGGGCAGTGGTTAGGATGCACTCACATTCTGCACATCTTGGGGCAAAGATGACATCTGGAGGCAGAGTTACTGTCTCCCTGAAGGAGGACAGGGGCTTTGTTCACAAGTTTCCTTCCTTGTAACTTGCTTGTAGCCATAGCTTCACCACTGACCAGATCCCCACACCTACCCCCTCCTTCTCATCATGTACTTTCTGTTAGCCATGGTTTGACCACATGTACAGCAGGGCCCAGAGGTCACTTACAGATTATGTTCATTGTCTCGAGTGTCAAAGCTGTCCAGCCAACCCAGACAGTAATAAGAATTCATATCAATCTAGAAGCCATTGAGCTGGCCGGGACCAGTCCAACTGAGAATGTGATTCAGAAGAAAAACCGACCTGAAGGAGTGTCTGGGGGCCTGGGCTGGCTCTCAGGGGGCCCCTTGTCAATAGACCCCTGAGTGCTCATGCCGCCAGAGTTCTGGGGTGGACCAGGAATCTGATGGGCAGGGGCACCCAGCCCTCAGGTAGGCAGTAGGAATCACCAGGCGAGCTCTGGACATCCTTGGGGTTGAGGTCTGAAGACAAGGTGTGAGACCTGATGGATACAGGACTCAGAAAACTTGAGAAAGGAGCCAGGTCAGGGGCAAAGGAAGGACTGATAGATAAGGGGGGTGGGGAGGAGGGAGAGACAGAAATGATGGTGAGTGAATAGAAGGGCAGAGAAACAGAAAAGGGAGGAGAAGGTAAAGGGACAGATGGGGAGGAGGCAACTAAGACTGGGAGATAGGAGGGGTAGGAGGTAGAAATAGGCATTGGCTGTCCTAGGTGTCTAGTGAGGGGTGGGGAGTGGGGCAGGCAGAACTGAAGAGGAGATAGCAGGAAGTGGAGCAGGTGGTGTGGGGGGAAGTGCAGCAAGGAAATAGAAGGCAGCTTTTTCAGGATTCCCAAGTTAGAAATGGAGGGCTGGTCAATATTCTATATCCTCCTGTTTCATTCTCCTCTGGCTCAGAATCCATAACCAAGAGTTTTGAAGCCTGCCTTTGTCAGGAGGACCTGCCGCTGGCAGCCCTCTCAGCCTGAGGTGCTCACCAG